CCGCCGCGCTGCCGATCCCGCTGCCCCGGCCCGGCCCGGCACGGGGATCCGGCCCTTCACCCTCCAGTTCCCAGCAGAAACCATAAGAGCCTCTTGGGAAGAGCTGTGCGGCAGCGGGATGGAGGCGCCCACCCGCCCCACGTGCTCCGCTCTGGCATGCCGCGAGAGGGCCAGGTCTCAGCACAGCAGAACTGCTCCTCTGGGCCCCGCTGGAGATATCCGGAGCCCCGCGCTGCAGTGCTCACCCACAGGGATGTCCCCATCCTGAGCCCTCGTGTCCCGGCCTCCCGGCTGGTGGGCACCAAGGAGGCCCGGCTGGGCTGGGATAAGGCAGAGCCATGCCTGGCACCTGGACCCGCGCAGAAACGTCACCTTTAAGACAGCAGCTTCCAGCACGCATAAAAATAGCACCCGGCTGCAGCCAAAGGTCGGGACTCCCGGGCCCTTCCTCCTCGTCTGCCTCCAGGAAGGCCCAGCCCAGGCCTGAGGCGCCTGCCAGGGCCCAGCTCCTTCCCCGTTCACGGCGCTCGCCCGGAGGCAGCTTGGGCCGAGCAGGAAAGTGGGGGTGAGAAGCCCTCAGCGGCCTCGTTCCTGGCATCTAATAGTTACTGTGAGGGCTGGGGTGCCCCTGTGCCTGGTGCTCCCGGTGTGGGAGGCGGGAAACACCAGGTCTGGCTTTAAGTGACCTTATGGATTAAAAAAGTGCCGCTCGCGTGGGCTCGCACAGCTGCCTGTGCACGGGCTCTCTTGGCGACACGCGGGGCGAAGCGGGGCCACGACACAGAGACACGGCGGGCAGAGACACCTGCAAGGAGCTCAAACGCCGCTGCCTTAATTAACTGCAGCACCAGGGCAGGTCCCTGTCCCCACACAGGAGGAGCTCGGCAGCTTGGCTGACGTCGGCGCCTCCTCTGCTGTTTCCCTGGACAGCTGCTGGGCGCAGGGTGGGGATCCGTGTCCGGGTTGATCCGTGTCCGGGTTGATCCGAATATTGCTTTGGCAACAGGAAGAACATCGACTGCGGTGCCGCCCGTGGGGAGGCGGGGGGCGGGCG